TTTTTTTTTTTTTTTTTTTTTTTTTTTTTTTTTTTTTTTTTTTTTTTTTTTTTTTTTTTTTTTTTTTTTTTTTTTTTTTTTTTTTTTTTTTTTTTTTTTTGAGATTGAGTCTTGCTCTGTTGCCCAGGCTGAAGTACAGTGTTGAGATCTCTGCTCACTGTGACCTCTGTCTCCTAGATTCAAGTGATTGTGGTGTCTCAGCCTTCCGAGTAGGTGGGAGACAGGTGCCCGCCACCACGCCTGGCTAAATTTTGTATTTTTAGTAGAGATGGTATTTCCGTCATGTTGCCCAGGGTCTTGGTGAACTCCTGAGCTCAGGGGATCTGCCTGCCTCGGCCTCCCAAAGTGCTGGGATTGTAGGCATGAGCTACCGCGCCTGGCCTAAAATATCTTTATTCATTCTGTCATCGAACTGTCAGCCATGTACAGAAGTCTAGAAGTGGAACAGGTGCGGTGGCTCACGTCTGTCATCCCAGCACCTCGGGAGGCCGAGGCGGGCAGATCAGCTGAGGTCGGGAGTTCGAGACCAGCCTGACCAATGTGGAGAAACCCCGTCCCTTTAGTAAAATACAAAATTAGCCGGGCATGGTGGTGGGTGCCTGTAATCCCAGCTACTCAGGAGGCTGAGGCTGGAGTATCTCTTGAACCTGGCAGGTGGAGGTTGCAGTGAGCCAAGATCGCACCACTGCACTTCAGCCTGGGCAAAAAGAGCAAAACTCTGTTTCAAGAAAAAAAAAAAAAAAAAAAAAAAAAAACAGCTTTCTCAGCTGGTCTCACACATTCTGTTTTGAAGAATCAGTCACCCATCCACCCATCTGTCCACCCTACAGACACCCGCTGAAATACAGTGCTGGCTACAGGAGATGAACATGACAGAAAAATATCTCCTTTGTGGAACTTATATTCTGTGTTTTATTTTATTTATTTATTTTTGAAATGAAGTCTCACCTTGTTGCCCAGGCTGGAGTGCAGTGGTGTGATCTCAACTCACTGCACCCTCCACCTCTCGGGTTCAAGAGATTCTCCTGTTTCAGCCTCCGAAGTAGTTGAGATTGTAGGTGCCCACCACCGCACCCAGCTAATTTTTTTGTATTTTTAGTAGAGATGGGGTTTCACCATGTTGGCCAGGCTGGTCTCGAACTCTTGACCTGATTCGCCCACCTCGGCCTCCCAAAGTGTTGGGATTATGGGAGTGAGCCACTGTGCCTGGCCTATTTTATTTATTTTTAGGAGACAGGGTCTCACATTGTTGCCCAGGCTGGGGTGCGGTGGTATGATCATAGCTCATTGCAGCCTCAAAATTCTGGGTTTACATGATCCTCCTGCCTCAGCCTCCCAAAGTGCTGGGATTACAGGCATGAGCCACCGCGCCTGGCCTAAAGGAATTCTTTTGACAGCCAAATTCCATGGAATGTGTGGAGCTCCCTTTGTTTAGGCACTCCCTGGCGGATCTGGGGGTTTTCCGGTTCTGAGCTACTGTGAGTCAGGCTGCTCTGAGCATTCCTGCACGAGGCTGTGTGAGGCCATAGAGTCCCTCTCTCTTGGATAAATGCCGTGGAGTGTAAAGAGTGACCCTGATATTTAACATTTTCTTTTTTGAGACAGGGTCTCACTGTGTCACCCAGGCTGGGGTGCAGTGCTGTGATCACAGCTCACTGTATCCTTGATTTCCTGGGCTCCAGCGATCCTCCCAC